GGGTGGTTAAATGGTAATTAGAAGGGTTGTGTGAGGATTGGATTCTTTGAAAAATCAAAGGAAAAATAATTGGTTTGTGTGGAATTGATAATTGGACCTAGAGTGAAAAATATGGCAAAGTGATGCTAGGATAGTGTAAAATGGAAAGTGACACCTAAAATGGTGTTGGGGTAGCATTATGATGCTAAAGAAAAATAAAAAGGAAATTTAGAAAAATAATTTTTGATTTAACACATGTTTGGCCGAGTCTACCATGGTGTAGGGGAGGATTTTGACGTTTTGTGATTTTGGTGGATTCATCGTATATTGATGATCTGTATATGGTCATGGTAGGTTGCCTCCTGTGAATTTGAACCCTGAACCGTGAGCTCGGTGGGTTTCTCTTGGTCCCGGACCAAAAGGGATTGTGGTAAGTATCTTGGAACCATGCCTTTGTGCTTGATAATTTGCATGTGTTGGTGAATGGAAAGTAAATTAGGAATGTCCCTTGTGTAGGCATTTCTGTTGTACCTAGCTCGGGGATTTATTGCATTGGAGCTGTGAGGAGGTGATTATTCAGGTAATCCCTTGGTACTGGGGTTTGATCCCCTTGTGTGTTCCACCATGCTCGTTGAGGGTAATGGTAGGAAATGTATGTGAATAATATAGGATAACATGTTCATGCATATTATGTGTGTTGTGGTACATAGGATGTACCGTGTCTCTGGCCAGTAGACTGTTTGCCTTCGGACGTTACAGACTTACTAGAAAAAATCTGCATAGCGACAGAATTGCTATGGAAATTTCATCTCTAATTTCATCCTCGCTATCACTTTCCCTTGCAAATTCCTTCGCAAACAATTTTGCGAGGGAATTTGCGACGGAAAGTAGTAGCGATGATGAAATTAACGACGGAATTTCCATAGCAATTCCGTCACTATACAGGTTTTTTCTTATAGTACCACTGGATAGGTCTCCGTGAGGGAGTTCCAGTTGACCTGGGGTCGTGGTGTGTGATCCGTAGAGGAGCACACTAGGAAGTCTCGGGTGGTTATGGATGGAGGGTGCCTTGGTTGATGTTCTGGGAACACTCCTTGGTTTGAAAACCGTAGGCTATATGCCGAGGCCAATAGGCTGGACGTTGTGTGGTTTTGGCATTGACCATTCCAGCTTCGTCGTATTTTGTATCCCTATGCTTTATTCTGTTTTCAGATGTTATGTTATATTATTTATATGCATCGAAGTGAGCCATTGGGCGAAGTATTCTCCAGAACCTTTGGGTTATTGAGATATATTCGTATATCTCACCCCGCTTTGGGGACTTTATTTCAGGTGGTAGCAGTGGTGTCGTTGCGGCGGGCAAGAAGCCCGTAGGTTGAGCATGAGGATTTTGCTTATTTTGCATTTTGGTGGCCATTGGGCCTAGGCTAGACTTAGGACATGAACACTATGTTTAGATAGGACCATTCATATTGTCATTTTGTTCATGTCTCTTTTGGCTAAGTCTAGTGGTTAATTATTATATTTATTTGCAAGTTATGAGTTGTAAATTGTATATGAAGACTTGATGTAATATAGAAGTATATGTATATGATGAAAGGGTAATAGGCCTATTCTAGGATTGATTTATGTATTATGTTACAAGAAGCATGCAAATGAATATTGTGATTGAAATTGATTAACTTGAGAAAGTAAGCATGAATTATGCATATTGATTAAATTGGATATAAACTGTGAAGGGTTGTAAGAGCACCAAGGCATTGTTGGTCCTTGTGTGCCACCTAATGATTATTAGGTACAAATTGAGGTTAGAGAACTAATTTGCAAATATGGGATTTATTGGGGGGAAAAAAGGAAACTCTCGCGAAATTTCTAGAAATTGGCAGAATTTAGATGAACTTTGGGAGAGCATATCTCCCTCCACTGAAGTCCATTAAGGACGTTCCATACGCTGTTTTAAATATTGAGATGTCCTCTACCAGGTATTAAAATTTGGGAATTTTCTAGGTTACACGCAGCCCTGTAGAAGCCCTTGAAGATGGACTGTCCAGAACGCACCTGAGTAAGGGCTGTTTCTGATAGTTTTTGGGAACTTTATTTCTGCTTCGTTTCTTGGTCAAATTAAGTGTACGATATTTCAAATTGGAGCTTGAGGTGCCTAGTTTACTGTATAAAAATGTTAGAGGAATTGGTTGAGTGTATTTTTCAAAATAATTGATTGAGTGAAGGCTATTTGGATCCTATTTGAGGTTGGCTGGCAGATTTGCTTGTCCAACTTCAAACGGCGATATCCGGAGCAAACGAGAACTTTATGACTCGTGTGATAGCTTCCTATAAAGGTAATTAAGTCTAGAATAACATACTAAAAGATGAGAGGCTTGCAGAATGTGGTTTGTCCGCAGAAATTAAAAGAAGTAGAAAATGTAAAAGTGAGATTTTAGCTAAGTGGGTTTATGGAAACCCCTTAGTGACTTGACAGAAGTAATATATGATATAAAAGTAGTTTAAATAGATATTCCGCAAATATTTTACGGTTACGGTCACAGTTTTTATTTATTGCGCTTTATTATTGTTTTAAATGCTCGCGTAATAAAACGGAAAAAGTTTACTCGCACTTTTTTAAATGAATTGCTGTGATTGTAACTGCGCTTAATATCATAATTAATGTTAACAATACCAGTGTACAACGGGCTGTTACACCCAAGGTCTCTCTTAAAAATATTAACATCTTCTATGAAGGGAAAACAATCATCGCTGGAAACTTTGTGAATAAATAATCGAAGAGCTAAAGAAAAGATCATCTCAAATCGTAGAAGAACAGACCATCGCTGGAAACTTTGTGAATAAATAATAACAAGATCACTTCATCCCAAACTTTGTGAAGATTCTTCTATGTTAATCTTCTCTGATCCAGATCGAAATTATAATAACCGAATAAAATTAAAATAAATATAATAGTAATAATAATCAAAGTAATAATATATAAAATAATAATATTGATAATAATGATAATAATAGATAAATAAATTATTATTATTATTATTATTATATTTGCTATATATAAATAAATTAGTATTATTAATAAACAAGTAAAGAAATAAATTTTATTTATGTTACATGTGTGACTACATAAAATTATATGGGCAATATTAAATGTAGTATATGATAAGTCTTATGATGACTATTAACTTATAAAAATTAAATAACATATGGTAAATATAATAATTAAATCTTAACATGTAAATATAAGAATACATTTTAATAAAATTTAACTGAATGATAGATAAATTATAATAGATATGTACTGTTTTATTTAACAACTATTAATTAAACCACATGTGTTTAAAATCATAAGGGAAACGCATACCAAAAAAAAATCATAAGGGAAATAAACTATATCAGTAAATATATATATATTAAATTATTTTCTTAAAATTTATAATCACATTAAATTAATTCTAATTAAATATTTACTAAATATCCTAAATTATTAATTAAAAATAATAACAATACTATAACTATTTTAAAAGAATTAAATGTATATCATTAAAAAGAATTAATATATAAAATAATATAATAAAATGTATATATAAATATATGGCAAGGAGGGGGCCACGTGGAACACCCCTCCAAGCCACATCTTAACAAATATGATGTAAAATAGGTGAGGTAATTAGAATGATGTAAAAAAAAAAAAAAAAAAAAAGAACAAAGAAAAACGTAAAAGAAAAAGGGTGAGTCAGCACACCTAGCATCTATATATATATGATAACAGCACCTCAATTGTCATTTGGCACAAGCAGTGTTAAAATTTTTTACGGAGAAGAACGCTGAAGAAAGACGAAGAGATAAAGAAAAAGGTAATATTGAGAGAGTAAAATCTTCTCTCTATTTTCTTCTTTTCAATTATTTTATATATATATATATATATATATATATTTAGAAAGTTGTATGTTGTTGTTATGCCAAAATATTTTCTTAATTTCTTCTCTTCTTTAATAATGTTTTTATCTATAGTTTTACCTTAATCTTTCTTTTAATTTTGTTATACTTGTCATGTTAACGTGATTCTTTCAAATTTTGAATTTTTATTTTTGATACCAATTGAATATTAAAAGAATGTGTAAATTTTACCTTAATGATACTGCTGTGAAGTGACCCACAAAAGTTTGGGATCAGAAGGTTTGAGGGTAAGGGACGCCTTATCATGACTTGAGCTCCGCCATATTATAACATTTCACATGCAGGAAACCCACAAAATTGGGAATTAAATTAGCTTCAGTTAAATTTTACGAGATTGCATATTAATATCTGGGACATTATTCCAATTTATGAAATTTACTTTAGAGGTTAATATTTTCCGTTATCACGGCTGGAAATGGTTATAGTTTAAAAATCTCAATATTACTGAGAATTTTCTCACATTGTTTTATTTTGTGCTAACCTTTCCAGAAAACCATCATGCCTAACTTATCTTTTTCTGGAGAAGGATGGACTGTGAATGTTTATTTTATGACGATCGTTGGGAATTTTACATAATAGTTGGAAACCAAGGAGCAGCAGCCAAATTCCATGCAGAAAATGTGGAGTCCTACACCTATAAGCTAGACTAGAATGAGAAGTATGTAATGAATAAACAGTGTAACATGATGTAGTTAGGAGTGTAATATATGTGTGGAACCGATGTAAAATATTTAGAATGTAAGATATTTGTACTAACTTACATCCATGTATAATTAATGAAGGATGTTAGTATTCCCAGTTAATCTTTCTAGATTTATTTTCTTAATATTCTTATTTATTATTATTATTAATAAATATATTAGTTACAAACAATGTGATATTCTCTATATTGGGATAATCAGAGGTTGTTACATTTTATGGTAACAGAGCAGCGGTTCAGGTAAATAAAAGATCTAAACTATTATAGTTGCTTGGTATTTTGTCATAGATCATGCATATTTTGAGTTATTTTAATGAGCCTGATCAACTCACTATCATAAAACAATATATGTAGATCTATGACAGGTACAAGGCAGATATCTTCTTCAACTTCTGAACCAGAAATTAACCCAGTAACGGATGCGTTTACACGAGTGGCAGAAGCTCTTAGAGAACAAACGGTGACTAATCAGCAAATTATTTAGGAGCTAAGGGAGGATCGTGCAACCAGAAATCACACCCATAATTCTGATAGTGAAGTGGACCTAGAATTGCAAATACTCAGGGAGGACTTAATTCTGATTATAAAGGACTCACTGAATTTCGTAAGCATAAACCTTCCACTTTTCGTGGAGATTATAATCCTGAGGCAACCATGGAATGGGTAAAGGAACTTGAGAAAATATTCCTGGTAATGGACTGTCCTAATACTCATCGTGTAAACTTTGCCATATACTTGTTGATTGGAGAAGCAGAGCATTGGTGGACAAATACCAAAAGATATTTTCAAAGCCAAGGAACAGAGATTACTTGGACAATTTTTAAAGATACCTTTTTGGAAAATTACTTTCCTCAAAGTGTAAAAAATAGAAAAGAAATAGATTTTCTTGAACTGAAACAAGGAAACATGACTGTTGGAGAATATGTGGCAAAATTTGAGGAATTATGCAGATATTCTAATTATGTACAGAATCAACCTAATGAAGAATGGTTGACGACTAAATTTGAATCTGGACTAAAACCTGAATTAAAAAGTATGATAATAGGACACCAAATTTGGAATTTGTCATCATTAATAAATAGGTGCAGAGACATTGAAGCAAGCATGAAGGAAGCTGAAGAGGGAAGAGAGAAAGACAGAGTTTCAAGTAGGAGAAAAAACGATGACAACAGCAAAAGGAGGTTTTCACGGACACAAAACTCAGGGAATAGCTTTGCTAACAACAGATGAAGAAAGAATATAGGACAGATGAATTCTGAGATTCAAGTATGTCCAAAATGCAAAAATAAGCATGCTGGAGAATGCCTAGCAAGAAGAGGCGTATGCTTTAAGTCTGGAAAGCCTGGACATATGTTGAGGCAGTGTCCGCAGAATCAAGGTCAGAACTCATCAATTCAACCTGCAACAAGAGGAAGAGTTTTCACTCTTAGTGGTCAGGAAGCGGCCCAAGCTTCAAATTTGGTTCAAGGTACTGGTCTAATACAAGATTCTCTTATAATTGTACTGTTTGATTCTGGGGCTACTCATTCTTTCATATCTTTATCTTCTACTCAAAAGTTAAAGTTACCAATATCCATTCTATCTTCTTATCTTGAAATCTTTCTTCCTACTGGAGAGAAAATTACCACATTTCAAGTCTGTAAAAATTGGCATCTTCAAGTCGAAGGGAAAGAGTTTAAAATAGATTTAGTTTGTTTGCCTATGATTGACATTGATGTAGTCCTTGGTATGAATTGGTTATCTGCAAACTGTGTGGTCATTGATTGTCATAATAAAAAGGTAATTTACACAAAAGAGTTAGAATTTCCAAATGAATCTTTATTCTTGTCAACTTTCGAACTTAGAAAAAATTTGTTAGATGGAGCACAAGGATACGTTTTCTTTAATCTTTCAGAAGCAAAGGCTAAACCTGATGCAACTAGTATCCCTATTGTCTCTGAATACTCAGAGGTTTTTTCGGATGAAATTCCAGGTTTACCCCCAAACAGAGAAATTGAATTTTCCATTGACCTAATACCTGGAGTAGGGCCAATTTCTATTGCACCCTACAGGATGTCACCTGTAGAGCTTGTTGAACTAAAGAAACAATTAGAGGAACTTCTATCAAAGTAGTTCATCAGACCAAGTGTGTCACCTTGGGGAGCACCAGTGCTCTTTGTCAAGAAAAAATATGGAAGTATGAGGTTGTGTGTGGATTATAGGAAACTAAATAAAGTAACCATTAAAAATAAATATCATTTGCCTCGGACAGATGACCTTTTAGATCAGTTGAGAGGAGCCACAATGTTTTCTAAAATAGATTTAAGATAAGGATATCACCAGATCAAAATTAAGACTGAAGATATTTCAAAGACAGCATTTAGGACTAGGTATGGACATTATGAATATCTAGTGATGCCTTTTAGTTTAACAAATGCTCCAGCAGTATTTATGGATTATATGAATAGAATTTTTAGACCTTACCTAGATCAATTTGTAGTGGTGTTTATAGATGATATTTTAATATATTCCAGGAATAAAGAGGAGCATAAGGAACATTTAAGGATAACATTACAAATTTTGAAAGATAAGCAATTGTATGCCAAACTTTCAAAATGTGAATTCTGGATGGAAGAAGTTAAGTTTTTAGGGCATGTTATTTCAAAAGGAGTGACAGTTGATCCTAGTAAAATTGAGGTTGTGATACACTGAGAAAGACCAAAGACTATCACTGAGATCAGGAGTTTTCTAGGATTGGCAGGATATTGCAGAAGATTTATTAAGGGATTTTCACAACTAGTGTTACCTTTAACTAGGTTAACTAGAAAAGGAGTTCCTTTTGTTTGGACACAAGAATGTGAAGATTGTTTTCAAGATTTAAAGAATAAATTGACATCTGCACCAATTTTAATAATCACTGATCCTTTAGGAAATTTTGAAATTTACAGTGATGCATCTAAAAAGGGATTAGGATGTGTCTTAATGCAAGAAGGAAAAGTTGTAGCTTATGCATCAAGACAATTGAGACCTTATAAGGAAAATTATCCAACTCATGACTTAGAATTGGCTGCAGTAGTTTTTGCCCTTAAGATTTGGAGGCATTATTTGTATGGAGTCAAGTTTGAAGTTTTTAGTGATCGTAAGAGTCTTAAATATTTATTTGACCAAAAAGAATTGAATATGAGGCAAAGAAGGTGGATGGAATTTTTGAAAGACTATGATTTTGAACTTAAATACCATCCAGGAAAAGCTAATGTAGTAGCTGATACTTTAAGCAGAAAATCCCTTCACATGTCACAGTTAATGGTCAAAGAAATGGAGTTGTTGGAAAAATTTAGAGATATGAAATTATCTGTGACTATATTGCCTCGAAGTTTAGGTATTAGTGAAATAAAAATAGATAATGAGTTGATAAATAAAATTAGAAAAGCTCAACATGAAGATTCTGGTTTAGAAAAATCTGTGAAACATGAAGAATTTACCAAATGGGAAGATGGTTTGGTGAAATTTCAAAGAAGAATTGTTGTACCTAAGAAGGAAGAATTGATGAAAGAAATTTTGAATAAGGCACATAGCAGTAAATTCACAGTTCACCCTGGTTCCACCAAAATGTATCAAGATTTGAAAAAAAACATTTTGGTGGCCAGGAATGAGAAAGGATATTGCTGAGTATGTTTCAAAACGTTTAATTTGTCAAAAAGTGAAAACTGAACATCAAAAGCCTTCAGGATTACTTCAATCACTAGACATACCGGAGTGGAAGTGAAAAAGTGTAGCCACTGATTTTGTGATGGGTTTACCAAGTACCCATGAGGGGTATGATGCAATTTGGGTAATCATTGATCGATTAACCAAATCTGCTCATTTCCTACCAATTAAGGCTCAATATTCTATTGAGAGATTAGCCCAATTTTATATAAATGAAATTGTCAAACTTTGTAACATGTCGTATATATCCGGTTTGTTATCATATCATCGTATTAAGCCACGCTTAATTTAAAAATGCGGAATATCTTTTTCTTTTCAATTATGACGTCATTATCATTAGCCAAGTTCAATTACTTAATTCATTTCATAAAACATCGTCTGTATGTAAATTGCAAAAAACAGCTAACTGAAATACCTCATAACATAGATGTGAATATCTAAGTCACGGATCTACAACACGTAGTCCGGACAATATCCTGATACATTATTAATTACAACTAGAAACAACTAAACATAAAGTCAAGTCAATGTGGCATGAACAATTCTCATGCTCACCAAATAAGGCAACAAAGCCCCACAACAGTCTCAACAATAACATCAATGTGGCATGGAAGATTATGTTGCGTAGTTAGTTAAGGGGAGGAAACAATAGTAGTTGTAAATAAATAAAGTGTAGTTGGTTAGTTTAGTGAATAAATGTTTACCAATAGAATAATACCATGTGGGCAAATGGGTTCATACGTGTAAATAGAATTGAACATATAAATACCTTTGTAGAAGGACCAGAAAGGACATTTGAAAAATAATAATAAAGTTTCTTCTATTTTTCTTTCTTTTCTTCTGTTATCCCCTTATATCTTGTACCACAGAGTTTATAAAAATTTTAACAAAATTGTTGATTTGAAACAATTATAAAATACATGAGATTAATTGAAACAATTAAAAATACAATGGGATAATTTAAAACATGGTCAAAGTTCAAGGAATAACTTATATTTTAGCCAATTTTAAATGACATTAATACTCCTCTGTATATTGTTTGTGTAAGTTTAAAAATTAGGTAGGAGTACATATCATTCCCATTTCCTCTTAAATTCCCCAGCTCAATTCGAGTGCCTTTTGATTAAATAATGCTTAATGTATCAATCGTGGACCAAAAGCATTGAAAAAGTCATTCTCGAAGCCACTTGAAAGTTGTGTTCCTACTTTCCAGAAGTTAAACCATATCTTAAAGAAAAAAAACAGAATATGGTAACAGATCTGAAATGGGACTACTAGCCTTCGTCAATTGACCTAATTGACTATTATAAAAACCAAGCCCGTGGTAAATTAAAATGCATTGAGCAGGTCACTTTATAACATGTTTAGAGTATAGTCTGCAGTTTCCAAATCACAGCATAACACACAAGCTATGATTCAGTTGTGAACACGATTTTGGGTTTCAAACCATAAAACCAACTCAAAAGTTAGCTCAAAGGGTGGGAGTGTCCAAGGCATTATAAATGCCATATTAGTTGTCCATCCAATCAATGTGGGACTATATATCTCAACAAGCCCCCTCACGCAAGAGCCTTTTTAGACTAGAAGCGTAGAAATTACACAGGTCCATTTTTTGTTTACCTTTTTGTGCTTTTTTTTATTTTAATTCCATTTTTTAAAGCGAGAGACGGTGATACCATATAAAGAACCTTGGGATACACCTCCCCAAAAGTTAGCTCAAAGGGTGGGAGTGCCCAAGGCCTTATAAAGGCCATATTAGTTGTCCATCCAATCAATGTGGGACTATATATCTCAACATGAATATATATATTTTTCTATTAAATCAAATGATAGCTTACAAACTATGTTTGCCATTATTTCATTTATGTTTGTGCTTGTATTTCAAAATCTTGGTGCCACATCCATTTCAATAGAAATTTAATATTATAAATTCATGTAAAAGAGAATTATTAGTTTAAGGCCGGCAGAATGGACAATGGGAGAGTGAGTGGTAGCTAAGTGTCGCATATTAAAGTGTGAATTTTGTTATTCTCATATGTTTTTTGCAGTATAAAAGTTATATTAAATCTTTGGTTTGGAATTAATTTAATTCAATCTATTGTATAGGATCTTTTGCAAGAGACGAATCCTTATGTGTGAAAATAAAAACAAAAAACGACATAAAAAATAGAGAGAGAATACAGAGAAAAGAGAGAAAAATGCGGATGAAGACCACTCCTTTTGTCTTTCCGCGGCAGGAGGAATTTCAGTGATCTCGGATTATTATTTATTCTATGATTTAGACCAATTAAAATCATACTACTCATGACATACTCATGACAAGGAGAAGAAGAAATAAAAATAATTTATTGTGCTAATGTCACCTCCTTGAATAAAAGGACCAGATGAAATCAGGAGCACAGAAAAATTCCCTCCGCGGCAGATAAGTTTTTCTGCTTCACATAGCACTGTAACAACGTGCGCTTTTTTTATTTTAGTGTCTAATTCTGTAAGCACGTATATATATGGGGAAAAAACGATTAACTGTATTGAGTCGTGTTTTGTCCATAACTTTCAATATTAGTCTTCAATCGAAGTGCAGGGAACTTTGAAAGACAAGCTTTAATTGTAACCGACCTTTATGAATTAAAACCAAACGGCGACTTAAATTCAAGAAGATAGAAGTTGAGGCAGAGGGGTTGGTCTTTGGAGTCTACATAGTATAAAACAAGCTAAATTATGTGATGCGCCTTGCGTATACGTAATTCCACTGTGTATTAAATTATATTTTTTTTAATAAAGTCTCTTTCGTAATTAGTTACGTGTTTTTTCTATTAAGTACTTTGTTAATATTTTATTTTATTTCACATATTATTATTTTTTAGAATTTTTTAAATTCTTTCACGTAATGTTAATCCTCTGATTATTTGTATTTTTTTAAAAAAAATTCACACTATATCATGCACTTATCTCGTTTAAAAAATTAAACTTTAACTAATATAGGAAAAGATTTTAAAAAGTAATTTGAAAATCCTCTTTTACATATTAAATTAGAATTTATTCTCTTAATAATTAAGAGATATTTAGTATTTTAGTTTATTTTCTCTATAAAAATGATATGTGTCACCATTCTTTTAAATTTAAATTCAAAATTTTTAAACTAATGAAGAACATATTTAAAATAATTTAAATATTTTTAGTTTATATGTTTTAAATTAATTCTAAAAAATTTATTTATAATTCTAATTTTTTAAAAATATATTCCTTTTAGTTTATATTTTTTTTTTATTTTATCTAAAATTTTAAAAATATCAGTACTATATACATTTTTTTTGGTTAATTTTAAATGGGTGGCTAATTGTATTGCTGGTGGAAGACGTGACAGCATAACCACGTCACAGAAAAACCTAACCCTGAATAGCACCTTCACATGTTCATTTACCAAATGGCATCAAGGATACTTCTGGACTTTGACCTTTTCCTAAAATCTGTAAGTATAAATAGGAAAGCACAATATATCATTGAGTACATGCGAAACTTTGGAACCCTTAATTATGAAAAAAGCAAGTATGGCTACTTTTTCCCTAAAGCATTCTAGTGGGTATGGAGTTAGATCTATTAGCTTACCAACTAGATCACATCCAAGCACAATTCGAATTGAAGAGGAGCTGATCAAGCTTAAATCTTGGGAAACATCATCAACATCCAAGGTTGAAACAATTTGCTATGGTCTATGTGGCCTAGCAGATTTGTACAAACACATAGAAGATCTTTTAAAATTGCCATTGACCCAACAAGCACTATCCCAGCACCGTAATGAGAAATGGGTCAACGAGCTTTTGGATTACCCAGTAAGATTCTTGGACCTATTGGGTAAAACAAGAGATGCCATTTTGTTAATGAAAGGAAGTGTTGAAGAGCTTCAGTCTGCACTTCGAAGGAGAAAGATTGGAGATTTAGGCATTGAATGTAATCTCTCTGTGTACTGGAGTCTCAGAAGGAACATGAGGAAGGAGTGCACAAAATCTCTGCTTTTATTGAAGCAGATAGATGAGTCATTTGGGGCCTCTCCTCTTTTGGATCTTAATAGCCACCTTTCTGCTGTGGTAAGAGTGCTCAGAGAAGCTAGTTTGATCACCAGCTACATCTTTCGGTCACTACTTGTGTTTCTTTCTTCACCAATCTTGAAATCAAAGGTTATTATTAGTAAGTGGGCATTTGTGTCAAGATTGGTGCAGAAAGGGGTGTTTGCTTGCAATAATCAACAGGAAAATATAAATGAGTTGGAAAAGGTGGACTTGGCACTTAGCAGCTTGCTTATGGATAATTTGAGCAAAGATGCTGAAGCTGAGAAGATTCAATCTGCACATGGAAGGCTAGAAGCTTTGGTGGTAGGCATTGAAAGGATTGAAAATGGATTGGAATGCTTGTTTAAGCGCCTGATTAACGTTCGAGTTTCTTTTCTGAATATACTTTCTCCTTAAGGTTGAATATGATAGGTATGAGTAGTAAAGAACTCGAGTTCAATAAGGCTTTCTGCATACCAGAGGATCCACATAAACCTTGCTTATAATTTCCAAATGTACAGATAGAGTTTCTTTTTTATCTTTCTTATTTCTTCTCTTCTTCCAGTATACTCACAATCTTTTATTTTAAAAGCATTGAATACTTTCAAATCTTTGTGAAGGGTGGCCTTAAATTTTGTCATTTCATTACTGGCATTAAACTGTTTGAAGATTCAATTGGATAATTTGATCTATAAATATATAACCTATCAAAATGCCACTAGGCATAGCTCTTGGTTGGGGCAGGAGGGAATTAAGGGGGAGATAGCATATTCAAATTGTTGTAACGATTCTGTATATTCTGAAAATAAACACATTTGCACTATTACATCGAAATCCTTTCTGCAAATAAAGAACCACCCTAGCTTCTGCTTTTGTCCCATTTTTTTTGTTTTCCAGAGTTAGTCTATAAGAGCGCTGAGTCCACCTGTAAAATTGTTTCCTTGTGACTCAAAAGTGAAAGGTTCAAATTCTAGAAATAACTTTTTTGTAATTATATTATAATAAGGTTGCCTATAAGAATTGTCTCTACTCCATCCCATCCTGGTTAGTTGGGATTTAACGTCAAGTTTTTTTTTTTCTACAATTAGTCCATTTCATAGTGTTCAAATATTGCATATGGCCCCTCCAAAAAAAAAAAAATTCGGAAACTTAAATTCGCAGCCACATTAGTGCCATTATTCTGATATACTACCCAATTTATGCGCTGTCATTCCCTGCCCCATCCTGCTCCCCTCAATTACAGAACTAATGTAGTTATAATCGTGCAAAAATGCATACATAAATGAAAAATCTACAGTGTACAGCAAAAATAAGTTTAAGTGGAACTTGAATTCAGATGAGTATGACTCCAAAGTTGTTGAAGTAACATTACTGGTTACCTAACCATATACTGAGAAAATTATGATGATTCGAGATACGTGGGTGAAATAACTGACAAAAGCAGAGCAGAATGTGACAAGACTCTGGGCTTTTCTTTTTTGTCAATAGACTGTGGCGTTGTGTATATCATCATCAATTCACTGCAACAAGCTATTCATCTACCTCTGAAGCCCAACTGGCAGGAGCGTGAACTACATGATTCAAAATTAGATAGAAAAAATTGTGTTATGTGTTGTCTCAAGTCTAACCTGTGCTTGTTTGGATTTTTTTTTTCAAGTGAGAAGTTACTTATAAATATATAAGTTAGGCTTAAAAAAAAATTGGATAAAGATTTTATAACGAAAAACTCTTTTTTTATAACAAAGAAAAAAATTAAAAGTTAAAAGTTTTTAGGAGGAATTTTTTTTTAAGGTTTTATTTATTTTTTCTTGAATTATGTGTTTTTTATTAAAATGAAGAGTTATAAAGATAGAGAGAGATAATTTTCTTGAAATATGTGCTTTTAAACTAAAAATTTTACGTAATTACCAAATAACTTTTAACTTTTTTTTAAGCTCTTATTTTTAACTTTAGCTTCTAAGAAGCTTCTAGTTTGAAAAAAGATTCAAACAGAGCCTGTTTGGATCCTTTTATTTTTAAGTTAGAAGTTACTTATAAGCTAAAGCTAAAAAAAAAAGCTTAAAAAAAGAAGTTAAAAGCTGTTTGAAAATTACATAAAAATTTTAGTTTAAAAATTACTTAAAAGCACGTATTTTAAGAAAATTATCTCTCTATATCTTTAGGCTTTTTTACTCTTATAACCCTTTATTATTAATTAATTACCGATTTGACCTTGATTATAAACTATTTCAAAAATTTAACCCTCTCAAAAAACATAACACCAATCTGCCCCTGTTTGACCGTTGACCACCAAGCCTACCCGGGTACACCCCTCTGTACTCGGGTATTTTTTGAAAAATTTTGTCTACCCGGGTAGGGAGGCGTGTACCCGGGTATTGTTCTTCGCACCTGAGAAATTGCTTGAATTATTTACCCGGGTAGAGAGGAGTGTACCCGGGTAAATCTTCGACCACCCGAGTATGATTACTCTTTGGATCTCCCATGCACTCTTCTTCTCCAAGCTTTGAATATGGAGGCACCCACTATCACATGTTCCGCCTCTGCAACTTTTTTGGGTCTGTAAAGCACACAAATATTTTTCAATGATTATTTTAGAAAGGGAATTCTCAGTTAACACTATAAAAGTAGACCCCATCATAATCGATACGAACAGGGACCGCTTTGATGAGCAGTAAAGTGTTGATGTATGGAAATTCCAAATCCATTCTCAAAGCTAAAAGCTCTTCAAATTGGTTAGGCATGCTTAACTTGATAATACCGATCTATCTCATTAGCTGTAAAAAAGAGAGAAAAAAAAAATTACCATGAAACAATTAATTACACATCCGCAAATATAATTAACTTGTGGTAAAATCAAATAAATCATATTTGTTCTTATATCCATCAGCTACAAGTTGCCCCAGTTATAGCAAGTACCAAATGGGTGGTCGAAGATTTACCCGGGTACACCCCTCCCTACCCGGGTAAATAATTCAAGCAATTTCTCAGGTACGAAGAACAATACCCTGGTACACTCCTCCTTACCCGGGTAGACAAAAATTTTCAAAAAATACCCGGGTACAGAGGGGTGTACCCGGGTAGGCTTGGTGGTCAACGGTCAAACAGGGGCAGATTGGTGTTATGTTTTTTGAGGGGGTTAAATTTTTGAAATAGTTTATAATCAAGGTCAAATCGGTAATTAGTTAATAATAAAGGGTTATAAGGGTCAAAAACCCATATCTTTATCACTCTTCATTTAAAAAAAAAAGCACACAATTCAAGAAAAAATATAAGAGCTAAAAAAAAGCTCCTCTTGCTTTTCAAAAAAAAAAAAAAAGCTCCTCCGAAGAGCTTTTAATTTTCAGATTTTTTTTTTATTTTATAAAAAAAGAGCTTTTCGTTATAAGAGATTTTCCCAAAATTTATTTAGCTTAACTTATACTTATAAGTAGCTCATAACTTAAAAAATAATATTCAAACAGGCAGTAAATATGACGCAAATCGTGACATGATTTGAGTTGTAAATATTTGTATTTATGTTAGATCTAGACGAATCTGGACATGACACAAACAACATACGCTAATCCAAATTGCCATTTGTAACCTTAACAAGGGAATGACGCCCTAAAAAGTATGAAATTTTTATCCCATTAGCTGCGAAATTTTATTAAAAAAATGTTGTTACCTTCAATGAACGCGTATGATTGCTAGTTGAAGACTTGAAGCAATTGACTGTTTATTGCCGACACAATTTGGGGCTATACCCAACGGTTATGTTACATGGATTTGTAGAATATTAGATGAATGACGAGGATTTATTTAGTAAGGACATCCTAATCAGCATGTTATTGTTTGAATTTGAGTATTGTAATTGTATGCCTTGAAATAGAGTACATTATGTTGTTAAGATTTTGCCTAAAATAATAATAATAATCGCTTTCAGTAGAGCAGTATTTTTTAGTGAGGTCAGGTTCCCTTCCATGTTGTGCGAACCTAAACCCAATCCTTCGATTTGTGGCATGAAGGCCCTTAGCGGCAATCTTAGTTGTGAATGTGATAATCCTACTAATCTGCGACAGCAACTATGTTCTTCGGTTTGTTCATTTTACGTTTATTGGACATATGTATTGATTTTATATTTGTGTGTTAGACAAGGGACAGATATTATATTATATTATTATTTAATATGTAATAGACTTATATATTGCACATTAATTGTTGATGTCACTTGTTAAAATTTCATAAATCAGGATTTTCTCTATATAATATATAATAATAAATTGATATATATATATATATATATATATATATATATATATATATATATATGAGGTAGGATCCTTTGACATTAATGTCAAATTTAAAGTTTGAATATATATATATATATATATATATATATATATATATATATATATATATATATATATGAGGTAAGATCTTTGACATCAATGTCAAATTTAAAGTTTGACACTTTATCTGAGAGTTATTAGATAAAAAAAATCAACGACTCTAATTTGTAAGTATGTGACACCATTGACTTTTTTGATCTAACGACTCTCAGATGAGATGTCAAACTTTAAATTTGATACTGATGTCAAAGAATCCTACCATACCCCTATATATATATATATGTGTGTGTGTGTGTGTGTGTTCGACTCCCGCTGAATGCATTCTTGGGGAGGGGGCTGAACCTTTAGGCATCACTGACCCCCGCACTCCGGATTAGACCCATAGTCGGCTCAAAGAGTCGAAGCTTGTGGGGATACCGGAGGGAGCCAACTCGCCTCAAAGAGGTAATTAGGGTTGGGTAACTCAAAAAAAAGAGGATATTCTAACTACCTATTTTTTCTACTACCATTCTACTATCACTCTAATCACCATTTGATTAAAGGAAAAGTCGAATGAAGAGAGAAAAAAAAAATAACTTTTGAATTCAATGGTGATTAAAATGGTAGTGGAGTGGTAGTAGAAAAATAAGTAGTAGGAATATCCTACCTCATATATATATGGTTTATACTTATTCTTGTTTTACATGAGATAAATAATTTTCTTACACACACAAAAAGAGGTGGGTCCCATCACTCTTTTTTTCTCTCTCCTCTTACATGTGAGTCCCACTTGTAATTTTATCTCTACAACATGAGGTAACTACTTTCCTACAACATAAGAAAAATATTTTCCTATATATATATATATATATATATATATATATATATATATATAGGGAAATGTTATACGGGGAAAAATATTGTAACAATCAAGTTGTGTTACTACCAAGTTACTACCAATCAATCTCACTGTTAGATCGATTATATTGATTCAACGGTTATATTTATTTTCATCTTTGTATGGTCATGATTTTCCAAATTTAATATTTTATATTTATTTCCACCTTTGTATGGTTATGATTTACCATATTTAATGCTTTCACTTTAAATATGGGGAATCATAACCATACAAAGATGAAAATAAATATAACCGTTAGATCAACATAATTGATCTAACGATGAAATCGATTGGTAGTAACATGGTAGTAACACAACTTGGTTGTTACATCACAAACTTTTTGTTAACAAACTCTTACAAACTACACTATATTTGACCAATAATACACTACTCAAGAGTATATTACCGGTTAGATATAATATAATTTGTAAGTTTGTAAAAAACAAAAGTTAGTCAATGTAAATGAGTGAAACTGGGCCGGGCCGGTCTACAGGGGACTACGACTCGACCTATGTTAGGTCAGTCCTGACCTAGTATATTTCGTAAAATAGGCCGGGCTTGGGCCTTGAAAAAGCTTGTTTAATAAAAAGGTCGTAGGCCCACTTTCACAAGGCCTGGCCTATAAGCCTACCGGCCGACCTATATTATACTATTTATTTTAAATAAAAAAAATATGCCTTGAAGAAAAAAGAAAAGATATAAATTTAATCAATTGCAATTATTTATGACTTAATTATATTCAATTATATTTTAATATAAATATGAATTTATTTCTTATGTAGGAGGAACCAACATCTCAGCATGTTAGATTGTGTATATGAATATATTAAAAGGTTTTGGGGAGAGGTTATACTTACTACAAGCATCATGATGTGTTTGTTGGATTCATGTAATTATTTTAATTTATATAATATGGATTTATTTGTTTGGATATGATGAAATATAATGTATTTAGTTTGAGCATTTTGCTTTTGAAAGTGACTTAAATGCAGATTGTATGAGTTTTGTCGTGATTCATGGTTCTGTTTGAACGTTGAAATTATGATTTTTGGTTTAACAACATAATTTGAATATTTTGTAAAGTTGATTCATGGTTCTGTTTGGAAGTTAAAAATTAACAGGCCAACGGGCTAGGTCAAGCCATTTCTTTTTTAATAAACGGGACAAGTCAGGCTAACAATTATACTCGTACTAGGCTTGGGCCAGGCTAAATTGAAATTTTTTGGCATAAGCTTGGATTTTTCGGGGCAAAGTTTGGCCCAGCCCAGCCTACTTTCACCCCTATGTAACCCTACTTATATATATATATATATATATATATATATATATATATATATATATATATAGGCTTATCATTTCTTAAGCTGCCGGAGATAAAGTTATTCCCGGCTACTAAATCATAAACGTACAAAGATAGATCAATGGTGATAAAGGAAGAGAGAGAAAAGTGGAATCATAACAATTCAAAGGTGAATCAATATATATAAGAAAATAAATAATCAAAACGACGTAGTTTTGGGGTGGCCGGAGATAAATTTATCTCAAGCAGTTTGAGAAATATTTTTCCCTATATATATATATATATATATATATATATATATATATATATATATATATATATATATATGCTCTAACCTGGAGATATTCTGATTCAACTTCCTCCGGTCACCTTGTTCTTGGAATACGGCTCAAAGGCTATTTATTGGAACAACAGGTGCATTGAACTTTGCTACCGAAAGAATGATGCGACTAATCCTCATTCGAAGAGAGAGACACATCTTATGTACCCTAAATTTTTTTCAAAAATTTGCTTGAGAGAGAGTTTAAATCCTTGACCTAAGGAACCCTTGCAAACTCAATTATTAACTAAGCTACCCTTGGTTAATAAATTGATATTTTTTGTTGTAGTCAATAAATTGATATTAATTACTATATAGTTTAATTTCAATCTATTATCAATATATAATCGTAAACTGTTGTTAATCATATTTAATAAAAAATTATTAGTGTTTCTGGCTTTTCAAGTATTTGTCAGAACCAAAATTTCCCCTTTTATTGATGTTAACGCAAGGCGAAGTGATTAATGATATATCATAATTCCTAACTAATAATTAAATAATCTGCATTTACTCCATTAACAGGTCAATATATGATTTCACAAAATAATAAAAAATACTTAAAATAAATTAAAAAACATATTAATGTGAAACAGTTTATATTGAACAGATAAAAATTAAATTCATTATTTGATGAAATAATAATAGACAAAATTAATAACTTAAATAACCCTATATATTTTTGAGATGACTATTCTACCCTTGAATGTGTGCCTTAGTTGGTAAGTCTCGCGAATCTCTAGTTCACCGACGTGGCATTACGATAGCTGCCAGATTCCACAGTACATGGCTCGTTGCATAGGATTCGTATCCAACACAAATCGAAGCTTCATACTCAACGGCTACATTTTCCCACAAAGTAATTGCCCCATTATTCCGAAATAAACGACAAGAATATCCACTTTTTCTAACACACTTATTTTTTTCCTTTTCAGCAGACCGTTGCTGTTCTTCTCTCCTTAAACCCCCAAAAGCATTATTCTCGTTCACTCTGCCACTTCGCCATGACGGTCGCGAGCGCCAAGAGGCTCATGAAGCTCACTGTGTCACTTCTCCGTTTAGGCTTCAACTCCTCCAAATGGTACACCTTCTTTTCACTCATTGAGGAAAAACAAAAGTTACTTTCTTTTTATGCTTCATTTTCTTGGGGTCGCCAAACGGGGAAGCGTTTTGGAGTCCAAATTCATTTTTATTGTCGTTTTGCAGCAAAACGGCAGCGAAGATGGCTGTGGCGAGGATCAAGCTGCTGAGGAACAAGAGGGAGGTGGTGGTTAGGCAGATGAGAAGAGACATTGCTCTTCTTCTCCGTTCTGGTCAAGATGCCACGGCTCGTATCAGGGTAATTTCATTTATTCTCTTTTTTTTTTCTCTTTTGAAAGTAAAAACTGAGACTTTACGTTGTTGATTCAGAATACACAGTTATTGTAGTTTTTATTATTGTTGCTGTGTTGTGCTATTTAATTGTGCCTAGATAGAAAGGGAATTAGATGGTTATGTTTACTCTGTAGAACAGAGGTGAACGTGCTCTTCGTGAGTGTTAGATTTTAATTGATGATAGTTACAGACTTTGAGGGAATGAAGGAATGCAGCTATTTTTAATTGATGGTTGAAAACTGAAAAAATTGTTAAGCTTATTGCTTGGTCAAATTTCTTGGAATTCTACAATATAGCTGTCTCGGGCATTTGGAGGCTAAATGTAATTTTCCAATTGTTTACGGAAAATTATTCTTAAATAATAACCTTTCATGTTATGAAGGATGAGTGTGTGAAATTTTGTCTAATGTAAATGTTAAATATCATCAGGACCCAAGAATTGATTGTAATCCATGTGTCAACTACACATGGGAGGTTCTATTATATAACTAACCAAATGAGATATACAAAGAGATGTACATGATGTGGGACTTCTAAATCACTATTTACAACACTCCCCCTCAAGCTAGAGCATATAGATCATATGCACCAAGCTTGTTACATATGTGATCTATCCTAGGCCCTCTCAATGACACAGTGAATGCATTAGCTAGTTGATCATTTGAATTGACAAAACTAGTGACTATATCTGTGGTTTTTCTCTAACGAAATGATAGTCTATCTCAATGTGCTTAGTCCTTTCATGAAACACTGGATTGGAAGCAATATGCAAAACAACTTGATTATCACAAATGAGAGATGTTGGGCCATTGTCTCCAAACTTGAGTTCCTTCAGTAGTTGTTTTAACCAGATGAGTTCATATGTGGCTATGGCCATGGAGACCCAGAGGTGGATCTTCTATCAATGGGGGAACTTGCCCAATCACCATCTGAGTATCCCACAACTCTGGTATGACCTTTGTTTTTATAGAGGAGACCTTGTCTGAAGCAGTCTTGATGTACTTGAGGATACAGATCACTGCATTTCAGTGATCTTCTTCACTAGGAGAATTCAAGAACTGACTTACTGCACTGACTATAAAGGAGATATCTTTCTGGATTTGAAAATAGCTCCCACTGATTTGGCAGAAGCTTGACATTTGAATCCATAGGGGTATCGACGAGCTTAGCATTTAATAGAGTTATCTCCTCAAGAATGTCCATAGTATATTTTCTCTGTGATACAGTCTTTGGATTTGGCCACTTCTATCCCTAAAAAATATCGGAATCTTCCAAGTTCCTTTGTCTGAAAATGATGGCAAAGATGTTGTTTGACCTGATTTATGCCATGATCATTTCCTGTAATGAGAATTCATCGACATATACCTCCAAATAAATAGAACTTGAATCAAAGTGATTATAAAATACTGAGTGATCATCCTCACTTCGAGTCATGCCAAACTACTTTTGTTAGGCTCTGGATACCATGTTAAATATCAGGACCCAAGAGGTATTGACTGTAACCCATGTGTTAACTACACATACATAGGAGGTTTCATTATATAACTAACCATATGAGAGATACAAAGAGATGTACATGTTGTGGGTCTTCTAAACCACTATTTACAACAGTAAAGATTCACGGGCATTGGTTCAATAGTATAATTTAATCTCTGTACTTTCGAGGAGGTGTGAGATGTGAAAGTAGAATTTTTTTTTTACCTTGAGACTGATGGCATGGTGATGTTACTAATGTATAAGATCCCATTTTTCTTTTTGAAGTTAGGTGAGGGCTTTTAATGGTTTATATTATACTCTAACAGAAATTGACGAACGTGACAGTTTCCTAAAAAATTTTTACTTGGCGGACACGCAGATTAGGATTTCTCTTGTTAGGCTCTGGATACCATGTTAAATATCAGGACCCAAAAGGTATTGACTGTAATCCATGTGTCAACTACTCATAGGAGGTTCCATTATATAACTAACCAATGAGAGATACAAAGAGATGTACATGTTGTGGGACCTCTAAACCACTATTTACAATAGTAAAGATTCACGGGCATTGGTTCAATAGTATAATTTAATCTCTGTACTTTCGAGGAGGTGTGAGATGTGAAAATAGAGTTTTTTTTTTTTTTACCTTGAGAGTGGTGGCATGGTGATGTTACTGATGTATAAGATCCCATTTTTCTTTTTGAAGTTGGGATGTCTATTTTGTGAATTTCAGCTAAAGATCTTTGTTGCTTTGTAGGTCGAGCACGTGATGAGAGAACAGAATATTTTGGCTGCAAATGAGTTCATTGAGCTCTTCTGTGAATTAGTTGTGTCCAGACTCTCAATCATTGCAAAGCAAAGGTGAAGTATTGGGGAACTCATTTTTCCATTATAAAGTATTACTTGAAATTCGTATTGGGGAACTCATTTTTCCATTATAAAGTATTACTTGAAATTCTGATGCTTCCAATTTATTCCAGGGAGTGTCCAGCAGATCTGAAAGAAGGAATTTGTAGCTTAATATTTGCAGCCCCTAGATGCTCTGAAATTCCGGAACTTGTTGCACTTAAGAATATCTTCGAGAAGAAATATGGGAAAGATTTTGTATCTGCAGCTACTGATCTTAGACCTAGCTGTGGTGTAAATCGCCAGGTTAGCCTTTTCCTGACTGCAATTTTGCTTGTATATGCTTACGAATAAGCCTTTTGGATTTGGTGCTTGCTTAAACTACTAAACTTCTATTAATTCTCAAAAGTATTCATATTAGTGCTTGTGAATTGCAATGTCTTTTAGTTGATTGACAAGCTCTCAGTACGAACACCTCCTGGTGAAGTAAAGTTGAAAGTGTTGAAGGAAATAGCTAAGGAATATCAAATTGATTGGGATACTGCAGAGTCAGAGAAAGAACTTCTCAAGCCTCCGGAAGAGCTAATAGTATGTTTTCTGTCTCTTGATTTCTCGCCATTTGCTATAGTATATTCTCTGTCTCTTTTTTCTTGTGCTTTGCCTCAGTTTATTTTATAACTTGGCTCTTCTCTCTCATCAGGAAGGGCCATGCACTTTTGTCAGTGCCAGCAGCTTACCGGTGAAGCCTTTAACAGATGTGTCCACAGAATCAAATAAGCCAGCGACTAGGTGGTGATACACAAATTTATAGTTCTAATCAGATTGATTATACCCTTTTATATGCATTATATTGCTATCTTCTTATTTTCCTAATAGGATTTTCTGGTGATTTATCAGATTATCAGGTGGTGGAAAAAGTGGTGCCATGCATTTCGAAGATTCCAAGTCTGCTGCTGAAGCAGCAGCTGAATCAGCTAAGAAAGCAATTGCTGCTGCAGAAGTTGCTGCTTATATGGCTATGAAGGATTATAATGAAGCCCCTCAACCATACATTTACAATGATAAGTTATATAACTCAGGACTCAACTTTGGGACCCTCCAATCAGATGATCCTGCTAAAATTACCCAGAACATGACTCATAAATCTACAACTGAGGAAAAAATGTACAGGTCACAGAGCTTACCAAGGTATGATCGAATGAACAACAGTGAGGAAACATTGCCTACCCAATTTTGTGGTGGAAAGGAGGATTATAGGAGATACAGCTACCATCCAACTTCTGCACATTCAGATATTAAGTTTGATGAATCAGATTGTGATGAGGAAATTGAAGCAGAAGAACCTCATGTTACTATGCCACCTAAGCGGCTTCCACCAGCTGTACCTTCATCTCTGGCTAAACAGGATGGCAGCTTTCGTGTTCATCCCAAATTGCCAGATTATGATGAACTTGCTGCCCGCTTTGATGCACTCAAATTCAGAAAGTCACATTCCTGAACCCACTTGAGCAACTGTTTACCAATCTGTTCTATGTAATTCATTTATATATGCATATAAGAATGGTATATTATTTTGTCATATAGAGAGAGAGAGACTAAGAATGTCATTATTGAATGCTGCTATACTTTGGTATTTAATGTAAGGTTCTGCCTCCGCGTTATAAGTGTACCTAGTATACTATACTTTGGTATTTAAAGTAAGGTTCTGCCTCCGCGTTATATTTGTACCTAGTATACAAAATTGTATCAACTTTTTTATTAACTTGATTCTCAATAATATTGCAACTTTCTGATAATCTACATGATTGGCGAGTCTGGAACGCTGAAAATATAATGAAAGTTATCATAATCTGAATTTGTATATATGGAACATAAATTTGTATACCACGTGCATCCAACAATTCATAATCTATTTATGCAACAATTCATAAATTTGTATACACGAGCTATGTATAGCTCTTGTTGTATATATACCTCACGAAAGCATTCCAACTAATAATATTAGGGTAAAATACAAAGCAATTTCAGACTTTATCTTCATTTAATTTACTCCTAAAATGAATAATTATAATTTCATCACATTGAATCTCTCTCCCAAGCACACGCATTTATGTATAAAGTAAAGATATTTGTCTCACACCTAGAAAGGCCTACAAGGGCAAAATGATGAGAGCCCCTTCTCTTAGTCTCACATTGGTTGCCTATACAATTAATGTGGAGTTTATAAAGCCTTGGACACTTCCATCTTTAAGCTAGCTTTTGGGGTGGTGATCTCAAGGTTCGTAACAATTGGTGCTTTCGTTGAGAGTTCAGGCCACAGAAAGGGCTACCTATAGGCTGGTGTCTTTGGGCACTAAATACTGATAGGTGAGTGAAGCCGCCCCAAAGGGAAGAAAGGGCTACTGTCGGGTCAGTGTCGATAGAGTGAAAGCCGCCGTAGACGTCGGCCTTTAAAGGGGTGGCAATGTTACAAGTCTCACATTGGTTGCCTATACAATTAATGTGGAGTTTATAACTTTGAGCTAGCTTTTGGAGTGGTGATCTCAAGGTTAGAAACACCTCCTCTTAACCATTATTGAAGAATCTCCCTTATCTATATATTCTGACATTGAAGAGTCACCTATTGCATACTAATTCTACTTCTTGTTACGTTGTTGAAATATAGGGCCGCCATACCTAACAATTCTTTCTGATTCTAGGCCTTCGCATGAGGCCCACTTGCAGTGACCCTCTCATTGAGCTTGGATTCATAAAATCATTGTTATATTGATATTACTTTATCTTTTCGAGGAAACAAATCCATTTCATTACACGCAGTTCACAAACTATTCTTGAATTTTTTGAATGTTTATTCAAACTTATTTGTTTAAATGAACAAACAAGGTCACACTTCATGCCTCCTATTTTCCTTTTCACCTTCTCTTTCTTTTTGTATTTAATATGGTTATAGGACCAGGCGTTTTGAGTGTCTAAAATTGTATCTTGGGATGCAACATCTTAGACTTAGAGGCAGGGTCCCTGTACCTTAGCTACCTGTTACGTTCGATGGGCTCCAGCCTCCATGAAATAATATTTAGTTTTCTTTTTTATATGAATTTAATATTTCTTATATTGTAAGAGATAATTTTATCTTATACATAAAGATTTATGGGGCCTATTTTTTTGTCTTTCTTCTCTTCATATGACCCTACATATTGTCTCACATACTTTTATGTGTATATATCTTGGAATCGAAAGAATAAATCATCTTCTGTATATTAAAATTACATAACTCAATGTAAGAGTTATATATATATATATATGTACACAACCGATCTTAACTAGGAACGAATAACAGAGGATTAAAGCTAAGTCTAACTACTTAGTTAACTGACATAACAAACTAACTAAATCTGTTATAACAAATTAACAGATTCAATTACTCCCTCTATCGTGATTTGTGGCATGTGTCTTTTCTATCATATGGGCCAAATTGTTTGGGCTTGGACCAGTAATGTGATCTGGTGAGACCCCTCCGCAAGCTGGACCAAGGATATTGACGAGGCCCAGCTTGGAGATAGCATTGATGAAGACTGAAGAAGGAAGAGATCTTGGTAAAAACATCAGCAACTTGATGGATAGAAGAAACATGGAGAAGTTTTATCAAGCCAGAACGAACTTTGTCTCTGGTGATATGGCAATCGATCTCGATGTGCTTGGAGCGTTCATGGAAAGTAGCATTTTGTGCAAGATATAAAGCAGACCGGTTGTCACAATAGACAGAAGCAGGAACATCCCAAGGTAAATGAAGGTCCTGGAATAAGTATTGAAACCATTGCAACTCACAAGTAAGGCTAGCAAGAGCTCGATACTCTGCTTCAGAAGAAGATCGGGAGACAGTGGATTGTTTCTTTGAGCGCCATGCAACTGGAGAATGACCAAGAAATACACAAAATTCGGTGACTGATCTTCTAGTAAGGGGGCAACAAGCCCAGTCAGAATCAGACAAGGCACGTATGCATAGAGGTGCATATGAGGAATAGAACAAGCCTTTAGCAGGAGCATCCTTTAAATAACGCAAAACACGATGAGCAGCAGTGAGATGAATGTCAAGTGGAGCTGCAACAAATTGACTCAGATGATGGACAGCATACGAAATATCTGGTCGTGTGGTTGTGAGGTACAACAAACGTCCAATCAACCAGCGATATACAGAAGGATCTGAGAGAGGAGAACTGTCCGATGAACTGTTGTTCGGGATTGGGACCATGGGTGTGGATACCGGTTTTGCAGCAAGGAGCCCAGCATCAGATAAAAGCTCCAAAGTGTATTTGCATAGGTTCAAAAGGATCCCAGATTGAGAGCGTGCGACCTCTAATCCAAGAAAATAGCGAAGAATCCCAAGGTCCTTGATACGAAAATTATCATGAAGAAAGGCTTTTACACGAAGAATCTCAGTCATGCAAGTGCCAGACAGAACCACATCATCTACATAAACCAGTAACACAGTGAAGGAAGAGGCAGTGGAGAGGGTAAACATGGAGTGATCAGCTTGTGCCTGAACATAACCAAGAGATAAAAGTGCAGAAGATAGCTTTGCATGCCATTGACGGCTGGCCTGTTTGAGACCATATAATTATTTTTGCAACTTACAAACAAGATTGCCAGAAGAAGAAAGACCAGAGGGAAGATCCATGTACACCTCCTCATTAAGATCACCATGCAAGAAAACATTGTCAATATCCAGCTGTTCAAGGAACCAACCTTTAATGGAGGCAACATCAAGTAATGTGCGCACGGTGGTGAGTTTAGCAACAGGAGAAAAAGTGTCAAAATGACCCCTTTGCAACAAGACGTGCTTTATATCTTTCAATGGAACCATTGGAATGATATTTAATTTTAAAAACCCATCGGCAGCCAATTTTTTTCTTGCCAGGAGGAAAGGTGACCAAGCTCCAAGTATTATTGAGTTTCAGTGCAGCTAATTCCTTGTCTATGGCTTGTTGCCACTGAGGAGATTTTACAGCTTGTGTGTAGGTACGAGGCTCAACAAAGGTACATGAATTCAGACAAAAATGATGATAAGAAGAAGTACATTTGTCATAAGAAAGTACAGTGGATAAGGAATACCTGGAAAGGGAATGATCAACCGAAAGAGGATTGGTAGTTGTGGAGAGCCCAACATGATAGTCACTGAGGTAATTTGGAGGAAACAGTGCACGTGAGGAACGTCTAGGAAGAGCATGTGGGTCTGTTTGTGTTGCTGGAATAGGGATGTCAGATGACGTAGTGGTAGGTGAGGTGAGTGGGGTTGGATGGTTATGTGGCAGATTTTGGATGCTTATGCTACGCATCCACATTACAAACACACCGCACCAAATTTAGCCCAAAAGCTCGATAAACAATTTTCCTTGGCTTCAAAGAAGGCACCAAAGGGTATCTCTTATATGATCTCACTTCAAGGAACTTCTTTATATCTCGTAATGTTGTTTTCTACGAAGACAAATTCCCTTTTCATGATGACCATACAGATGTACCTAACATAGCCCATCTCCCACCACAATGCTTACCATATAGCCAGAAGCAACACCATCATGTCCCTTTTATGATACACATGCCACAAATACAAACACAGCCACACTAACCTTAATCCAAAGCCAGCCACGTTATGATACACCTGTCCCCAATGCAGACCAAGTCACTCCCACCTTAATCCCAAAAGGGACATGATGGTGTTGATGTCTGGCTATATGGTAAGCATTATGGTGGGAGATGGGCTATGTTAGGTACATCTGTATAGTCATCATGAAAAGGGAAATTGTCTTCGTAGAAAATAACATTACGAGATATAAAGAAGTTCCTTGAAGTGAGATCATATAAGAGATACCCTTTGGTGCCTTTTTTGAAGCCAATGAAAATTGCTTTTCGAGCTTTTGGGCTAAATTTGGTGCGGTGTATTTGTAATGTGGATGCATAGCATAAGCATCCAAAAACTCGAAGGTGAGTCAAGGATGGTGGGGTACTATATAGTTTGTGGCATGGGGTGCTGTTGGCAAGAAGTGGGGTACAAAGTCTGTTGATGACATATGCAGCATGAAGAACTGCATAATTCCAGAATTGGAGAGGAAGATTGGCTTGAAATAAAAAGGCTCTTGCAACATTCAGCAGATGTTGGTGTTTTCTCTCTACCAAACCGTTCTGCTGGGGAGTTTCTACACAGGATGTTTGATGAACAATCCCCTTCTGTTTGTAGAAGTCATGCATGACAAATTCTGAGCCATTGTCACTGCGAATTATCTTTGGAGTGGTATTGAATTGGGTTTGAACAAAGGTAATGAAATCACGAATGTGTTGACGTGCCTCACTTTTATTTTTCATTAGAAAAATCCATGTGTAACGTGAGAATTCATCAACCAATGTAAGAAAGAAACGATGCCCATTTATTGATATTGTGGAAAAGGGTCCCCAAATGTCTGTGTGGACCAAATCAAAGATCCTATATGTTTGACTATTACTGGAAGGAAAAGGAAACTTTCGCTGCTTAGCTAGATGACATATATCATAGGGTTTTACATGGGCAGAAGGAATAAAAGGAAATTACAATGACATTTTGTGTAGGACAACTTCAGATAGATGGCCAAGTCTTCTATGCCATAATATGGGTGTGCTTACTGCATTGGTAGCAGTGGTGTGACAGCTTTTGAGTTGTGGACTTTGAGCTACTTCATTGACTATCATGTATAGGCCATTTCTCCTTTCAGCTATACCAATCATCTTCTGGGATTGGATCTGTTTAATGAAGCAAAATTCAGCAGCAAAGGTAAGTGAACAATTGAGTGTAGTTATAAGGTATGTAGCAGAAACCAGATTAACATTGAATTGTGGCACATAGAGTGTATCATAGAGAATGAGTGTGGGTGTTAACTGAATTACTCCTCAATAGTGTGCAATGACATGAAATCCATTAGGTAAGTATATGGACAAAGGTTGAATTTTACGAATAGATGTGAAATCCTTAATGGAGTGAGCAAAGTGGTTTGTTGCACCTGTATCCACGATCCATTGTGAATTTGATGTACCTTTGGCTGTGCTGATATTTGAAACTTGAACCAAATTACTGGCATGTGCTTGAGTTACATTGGACTGTTCTTCTGGATTAGACCTTTGCAACAACTCCATTAGGTGTTGATATTCATGTTGACTTATGTGCTTATGAGGTTCTGATGAAACAGAATGTTCTTGAAGGGAATCAGCATCATGAATCTGAGAGGAGGTAGTAAGTGCAGTCTGTGGAGTTTGGGATCTGTTGTAGGTACGATAGCCTGGTGGGAATCCGTGTAATTGGTAACACGATTCAATAGTATGGTTACTCCTACCACAATGAGTACATACGCGGTTAGGTTGATTTCCACCATTATAGTACCTTCCACTATTGCTGCGGCCTCTGCCCCTTCCACCATTGTTGTATCTTCCTCCATTATTGAATCTTCCTCCATAAGACATATCTCCTCTTCGGTAATTGCCTGTTGGAGCATTTGTAACAGTGAAAGCATGTGAAGTTTTGGTTTCAAGAGCATGACTCTCAGATTGAAATTGTCTCTCCTGTTGAGAGACCAAGGAAAAAGCTCGATTAACACTTGGCAAAGGACTTATAAGCATGATTTGGGATCGAACAGGGGCAAATTGTTCTTTCAATCCCTTCAAGAATCGAATGACTTGTTCTTGTTCACGATATTCACGAACTCTGGAAATTGCTCCACAAACACATGGCATAGGACAGGAACAAATAGGAAGCGGTTTGAGATTCTCCAGTTCATCCCAAACCGTTTTGAGTTGAGTATAGTATTGACTTACTGATTCATCTCCTTGTTGCAATCGGTAAGCTTCCTCCATCAGATCTGAAACTCTAAACACATCTGCTTGAGAAAACCTTTCTCGCAGATCTAACCAAACATCACGAGCAAGTTCTATCCACAGGATTGACTTCACTATGGATTCAGAAATAGATCTGTGCAGCCAAGCCATGACCATTGTGTCACATCGTTGCCAAGCTGCATAAGCAGGATCATCAAGATCTGGAGGAATAATGCTTCTATTTACAAAATCGATCGTACTCTTGGAAATCAAAGCCACTGTCATTCCGCGAGCCCAGGAGTGATAATTTCCTCCATCCAATGGTGGTGTTACCAGAATCAAGGATGGACTTTCACTCAGGTGTAAAAAGAAAGGATGAGAAGGATTTGTGTTGAAATCAGGGTTCATGACAAGATTAGCCATGGAAACAGGAAGAAAAAGGTGTTTGAATCAAGGTTTTTGAAGAGAAAAATTCTGAAGCAGAGCATCAGAGCTATGGTAGCTCTGATACCATCTTGGAATTGAAAGAATAAATCATCTTCTGCATATTAAAATTACATAACTCAATGTAAGAGTTATATATATATGTACACAACCGGTCTTAACTAGGAACGAATAACAGAGGATTAAAGCTAAGTCTAACTACTTAGTTAACTGACATAACAAACTAACTAAATCTGTTATAACAAATTAACAGATTCAATTACTCCCTCTATCGTGATCTGTGGCATGTGTCTTTTCTATCATATGGGCCAAATTGTTTGGGCTTGGACCAGTAATGTGATTTGGTGAGAATATAGAAGATAATTTTATCTTCTTCAACATTAGAAACATCAAATTCTTTTTATATATACAATAATATTTAGTTTATGAGGTACACATGTATGTAATCAGTGGATTATATTATTTGTTAGGATAATGAACCAGGACATATTTGGTAATTAGGTGCATAATTTCAGTTATTTAATTAAACTCAAGGTTAACATGCTTTTTAATAAACCATAGGAATCTTTCAAAGAAGGCAATTTTGTTCGAGCCGGGAATATCATATCATGATGGAGCTAGCTTTTCCAAAGAAGAATTTTTACATTCAGAATGTCTTGAACCCAAAACTTTGCTTAAACGGAATCAAACATGTATCACTTGAACCAATTCTTTTTTATTCAAGGTTAGCATGTTGACGAGTCCCACCTTTGTTACATATGCAATTTAGAATAATAATATTTATTTTGGTTTGTATAAGAGAATAATATAAATAATTAAAAATGCCCTCACCTAATACCTTAAGGTTTTGGATTGAAGTGGTTCTTTACATGGTATCAGAGCTTTAGTGACCATAAAGTCAAGAGTTCGATCTTCATTGCCTCCGACTTTTGAGTGGAATTAAAATAAATACAAGATAAAACGAAAAACATTGGGCCTGTATAATATCCACACTTCAAGCCCAAAGGGCTCTTGTGTGAAAGGATATGTCAGAAAATAATATAAATCATTAAAAAAAACTCTCACTCGATACCTTAAAATTTTGGTGGTTCTTTACAGTTTGAATAATGATTATTTGGTTTATCATGTTACACGATCATAATTCATACTATTCTTTATGGGTTTTATAAGAGTTATGTTGTAGGAAAAGTGATTGTGTAATGTTATAGAGATTCGTTTTGCGTATCGTAGTTTTTTTTTTTTTGCTTCAAAAAGTGTGGGCCCCACAAAATGTTGTGTGTGTAAGAAACTTTCTTGTGTCATATTAAATGATAAATGCAAACCTCATTCTTTATTTATTATTATTTTTACATATGTGTGGTTTTTTTTTTTTTTTTTTGAAGAGACTAACGATTGTGTTTAGCAAATCGTTTGCAGTACAAGTTCTGGGAAACGAAAAATGGTTCCCAGCAGTGCATAAATTTATAGAGCAAAAACTTGTGCTAAAAATGATTTTATATGTTAATATTGCTTGTTATTTGTAATTTGTTTTTGTGCTTTGGTAGTAAAAGAGTTCCTCGCGACAATTCACTAATCATTAATATTGTGGGTAAAAACCTAGATATAAGTAGAAACGTGCCTTGCACTCAAAAACCTTAGCTATTTTAGTATAATAAGTTGGCGGCTACCTCATCAGCTTCAAAGTCTCTATCAACAAGGAGGAGGGTATTCATGTTCGGTCCTGCTTCAACTTCGAATTCTCCTATGTTAACAAGAATAAAAGATTTACCCTATTTTAATTTAGAAATAGCTACGTGGATTAATTAAAGCACAATAGAAGCATCAAGAAGGAATCTTTTGACCTCTCTCTCTTTTTTTTGTATAAAAAAGGACGGCTTTGTCGCCTAAATCCTTCAACTTTTGTTTAGGAATAAACTTTTGTAGCGCCTCGTTTAGATTCATAACTAGGATTACCCGCCTAAAGATCTATTATTTTTCTATATGTACAAAAGATTATTTCATCGGTTTGTAACTACCAAAAAAGTTAGAGAAAATGGACTTATGGACAGCTAGCAATTATTTAAAAAAAAAAAACTATGGTCACAGTACTCATATGTGCCCTGCTCTAGTTATATATTGGCAGCGAGTAACCAAAGCATGCATTAACAACTTACACTTAGCTTCATATTGAATTATCAGTCTGTGACACTATGGCTAAGAGATTGTTGCATATGTTGTTTATTTTCCTAGCCACATTTTTGGCCATGGTTGGATCAAGTTTGAATATGGAACCAGTAGTACCTGCAGTTTACATCTTTGGAGACTCGACTCTTGATGTTGGTACCAACAATTTCTTGCCCAATTCAACATCCAGGGCAGATATGAAATTTTATGGGATTGATTTTCCTTTCTCAAAGCCAACTGGGAGGTTTAGCAATGGATATAACACTGCTGACAGAATTGGTAACTTTTCTATGATCATCATAACGCCAAATTTTATGACTTAATAATTAAAGCATACACACTTCAGTGAAACAAAAAATATGGGTGTTTCATATATGCCAGTTTAAACATTATTCTAAATGCTAATTCCGTTACTATTGTTGTTTTTGCTCTTCAGTGAACTTACTAGGATACAGTGAGAGCCCACCACCATTTCTTTACCTTGTCCAAAATGATACAGAACATTTCAACAGCGAAATTCTTAAAGGTGTCAATTTTGCTTCCGGTGGATCAGGACTTCTGCACGATACAGGAAAAAGACCCTACGTAAGATCTCTGTCTCGCTCTGTTACTTCTACCTCGTAGCTCATAACAAAGAAGAAAATATATTATTTTAACATGGAAATATTAAACATTATGTTAAGTAGATTTGCTTCTTTTAATTCCAAAATAAGCTTTCTAAACTTGGATCACCGTATCTCGTGTCTTCTGTTCCGCTTTAATATATTTTTTATAGGATCCTATTGTCACTATATTAATTATTGATTAAGTTGTAAGAAAAAAATTTCCCCATAGTTCTAGGAATGAAAAAAAAAAAAAATTATCTTGAAAGAGCCATCCATATATGTGCTCGAATGGATTAGATCATTTAATCAATAAATCGGTACTAGCACTTATTACTTTTCCTATTAATATTTTATATTTTTACTGGTTCCGATTAAGATTGTTCAAAGAGTTTGATTTTAATCCACGGTAAAATTTAATTTTGTTATTATTCTGTTATATGTTACCACTGACTAAAAGCGTTTGACTTAATCCTAATTACTTGAAGGATAAACCTTTTAATAATGTAACAACCTATACAATAATGGTGTAATTTTGAGTCAAACGACGTGTCAAAAGCTTATAATATAGTCTCAAATTAGTTTATTATATCTAATAAAATAGAACAGACTCAAGTTTTTAAAAATATCTTTTTAAAAAGTAAGTCATAGGCTTTCATTTTCAAAGTTCTGTTAAGCCTACATACTGTCCTATATCTTATAATTTATTTTAAATAAAATAAATAAAATTATTATTTTAATGATTTTGAATTATAAAGTAATATTAGTTTAAGGAAAAAATATTTCAGCTTTTGTTGCAGAAAATATTTATCTATTACACTTACATAAAAGTGAATAGGTCCTATTATGAAGAGAAGAAAAAGAAAAATTAATGTGACGGATAAATATTTTCTGCAGCAAAAGCTGAAATATTAAAACCCTATTTTAATTATTGAATGTCTAATATGCTTAAACAGACTAATAGATTTAACACAAAGCTAATAAATCAAATAGTCCTAAAATATTTTACACAAACCTAACATATTTAAGTCAAACTTTTTTTTTTTTTGAAATATTCTAATCGGTTCATTGCTTCGCAACTAATCCGATTCGAGGCGAGTCCAGGATTAAGGCTTTAAATCCCTTCCAAAGATGGTACTAAGGAGATTCGAACACATGCTCTCATCCCCCACCACCTTCACCTTCTTAGCTCCCATGCGCCAACTGATCTACCACCATTTGGTTATTTAAGTCAAACTCTAACTCGACCTATTTACATCTCGGATGATTTTACAAGCTAAATCCTTGTTCAAATAGTACTGACAAAAACACTAATAATTGATCAGAAAATAACATCAATAATAAACATCCTAAATTTTCTAAAAAATATTTACCGGTAACGGGGTTTGTTTTTGTTTTTGTTGGTCAACACTAGTAATGGAATTGAAATGGCTATATATATTTGCAAATTTCTGGCAAACCAAACTAAAATAACTATTTGTGTTAAAACAGACGCATGTTATACCTATGGGAGAACAAATCCAACAGTTCACAACCGTTCACGACAATATCTCACAATATCTGAATGGCACTGGAGAGGATAGAATTAATAAATCTCTGTTCCTTATAAGTGTGGGAAGCAACGATATATTAGAGTTCTTTTTGTATAATGCGAGTAATTCCAACAATATCACGCTGGAGTTGCAGGATTTACTCACCTCTCTAATGATTATTTACCAAACCCATCTCGAGGTTTGTCACTTCATGCTTCCTTTTTTTTTTTTTCTTTCTTTTTTACTGAATATAGTTATTGATACGTAAGAAACAATATTTATTTACCTTTTTATATTTTCCTACATTACAGAGTCTAATCAACCTTGGAGCTAGAAAATTTGCTATAATAAGTGTTCCTCCTCTGGGTTGCGTCCCAATCCTGCGTGCCAATGCAAGTGCTCCTTGTGTGGTCGAGGTTAATGTGGTTGCTAAACTCTTCTACGTAGCAGCGTATGGTTTACTGCTAAATTTGAGCTCAGAGTTCCCAGACATGAAGTACTCCCTTGGAAATGCATTTGATATTACATTAACCATGATAGACAACCCTGCTCCATTTCGTAAGTTTTTTTCTACTTATCCTAGGGGAAAAAAAAAAAGAGTTTATATTTTACACATCACTCATCATATTACTTTAGACCAGCAGAATATTATAAGAAAATTTATAAATAAATGACGCAGGATATTCTTATATCATTGTAAGAATCATAAGTTTTATATCAAATATAAATATTTCTTATATCTAACAGCTCAAATATTTAATAAATTAAAATTGTTAAATATAAATAAGATCAACAATCAAAATTAAGAGTGTAATTCACATCACGCGGACATAATTTTTTTAAAAATAATGTTACTAACAAGTAGAGTACGTGTGAAAAAAAAAAAAATGAACCGAATTGAAATCTGAATGATGTAAACTGCACCACAAGAATAATTTTATATTATATATCTAACACTTTGTCTTGTTTGTGTGAAGGTTTGGAAGACGCAAGATCAGCTTGCTGCGGAAATCAAACACTGGTTGACGGGCTCCCGTCAGGAATCCCTTGCAGCCCTGATGCTGAATTATGTGAAAAGCGCAATCGATTCCTGTTTTGGGACCAGTTCCATCCCACGGAGTATACCTCCAAGCTAGTTGCACTCAGTCTCTATAGTGGTGGAAGTGAATATGTAACACCCACGAATTTCAGTCTACTGGTTCAACCATGATGATTGATGACCCATTAGTTTTCTTCACCAATTGGACTTTATTATCCAAAGCTCAGTACCCAATCAATAAACATTGAAGACATAAATATGTAAATAAATTGCAAGTTTGAGTCATCAAAGGACTCGAGCTCATTACCTCCCCTGCTTAGTTTATCAACAGTTTTAATTAAGCTTGTTCTATATGTTTATAAGGCCGCGAGGTCAAGTTTGTTATATTTATTTATTATCAATTATGGATAAATAAGAAATTGATTGGTATAATGGACCAATCTGGATGTTTAAGCCCAATTGCCAATGAGACCAGCAACAAAATGGCGAGAAGAAGACTTGCCCATTTCAAGGACTTCATTATGGGCTGATGGGAAGTAGATCCATAAGAATTGTTAATTCTGTTTACTGTTTTTTTTTTTTTTTTTTAATTACTTGATAAGTCAAATTACAACATAACAAACTATGAAATATAAATAGTCAAGTGGGCCTATAAAAGAGGGCATGAATCGTTTCAGTAACCCTTCCAACTCTTCTTCTTTCTCTCTCTCTCTCTAACACTCTTTTCTTGCTTTCTCACTTATCTGTAGTTCTGCTCTTGTTACAATTAGTGTGAAAAGATGGAATGTAAAATCAAGGGCATAGCATAGCTTTCAGGATACATATTATAAATAATATTTAAATTTAAATCGAGATATTAGAGGTGAAAATGGGCTGGGCAGGGCCGAGCTTTGTCCTGAAAAGTCCAAGCTTGTGCCAAAAAATTTCAATTTGGCCTGGCCCGAGCCTAGTACGAGTCTAACTGTTAGTCTGACTTGTCCCATTTATAAATAAAAAAACAAATGGTCTGACTTGACCCGTTAGCCTATTAATTTTTAACTTACAAGCAGAACCATGAATCAACTTCACAAAATACTTAAATTTTGTTGCTAAAACAAAAATCATAATTTCAACGTCCAAACAGGACCATAAATCACAACAAAACTCATCACAATCTGCATTTAAGTCACTTTCAAAAGCAACATGCTCAAACTAAATAACACATATTTCATCAGATCCAATTAACAAATCTATATTATGTAAATTAAAATAACTACATAAATCCAACAAACACATCATGATGCTTGTAGTAGCCAAAAACTTCTTTTCATCTTCTCTCCCCTACAAATACAATTCCAAGATTACATAAGTTGGTAAACAATTTGTAAATGTAGAAAACAGAAAACAAGAATACTTAATAGAAACAAAAATAAAATTAAGAAACAAAAAATCTTTTAATAGATTCATATAGGCAATCTCACATGCTGAGATGTTGGTTTCTCCTACATAAAAAATAAAGTTAAATTTCTATTCAAATTTAATCGAATATAATTAAATTATAAAATAATTTCAATTGATTAAATTTATACTTTTTTTTCATGTCATACCTGTTACGTAGCCAATCTTCGCCATAAATTAAAGCTTGGAAGGTATCTTCAGCAAAGCTAGAACGATAGACATCAACAACTCTTCCTCCAGCACTAAATGTTGATCTGATGGTATTGTAGAGATTAGTTCGGATCTTATGTCACTCTCAAAGATATTATTGGTGAAGGAACGAACCTAAGTCCTTCCATCACCTACTTAGCTCATATGCACCAACTGAACTATCACTTTTTGGTACTACTATGAATAATATTATTTTATTTAATTTAAAATAAATAATATGATATAGGCCGGCCTGTAGGCTTATAGGCTCGATATATTAAAAAAAAAAAAAGTCTATCATCTACTTTCTAAATAAGCTTGTTTAAAAAAGTCTGGGCCTGTTCTATTTGCCTATATGTAATAAACTAAGCCCGACCTGATATAGGCTAGGCCGTAGGCTGGCCCACTTTCATCCCTACTTTTCGCCATTCAGTTCAATTTAAATCTTCAACAATATATTTTTGGGAGATGTTGTGGACCCGTATAAGGGGCTCATTGGATGATAGGCCCAACAAGGGGCAATCCAAGATTTAAATCAAGTATAATTATGGATAGATATCCATCAAGGATACTAATCCTAGTACGACAGCATGACAGACAGGCCTGGGCCCTCATTAGAGGTACTAAAGGTCCATATCATATTACCCACATGTAACTCCTATGAATAAAAGGTAAACCCTAAAGGTATGATACGCTCTCTCTCTTACTGTTATGTTGTCATTGTGCACGCACACACACCCCCTTTGGCAAAGCCTTTACTTGTTTACTGTGCACAGTGATCTGCTTGATTCAAGGATATCTCCTTCATAGATACCTTGAAGAGGGCACTAGATCCAAGATCAACATACCAGTCCATTGGGTTGGACATCTTTGTCTCCAAGACGTACATTGGCACCGTCTGTGAGGATTCATCTTTGAATTTGATATTCCCACGATTCTAACTGAAGATGGCAGTCCGTACAAGAAGTAATAGCCATCAGCCACACCCTCAGAATTAGCCGCTGGATCCAGTCCTGGAAGAGGCGAATCGACCTCAAAACCAGCCTGAGAATGAGGTGGATTACAATCATGTTCGTGTCAGTGAGGATGTATCAGACACAGCTTCCACCCCAGTATCCCGCGACCGAGTTGCGGCTCCAGCTCTGAATAATCCTCCCCAACATCCTGGGGATATTGCTGCTCGCGTTGCCCAATCTGCAGATCCTAATTCTAGACTTGCCCAAAATGCAGTCGCCGCAAATTTACGGCGAATGGAAGAGATGGAGAATCGTAATAACCTCCAGAGGCAAGATTTCCAGAGAATGCAGGAAGAAAATACCAGGAGAATGCATGGTTTGGAAAAGCGCTTAGTGGGGATGACAGGGCCAGGAGTGATAGAGGTATAAGGCCGAGATGCTAATGGCCGATAAGGGAACCACAACCCGGATGATCAAAACTGGGTTATTGGGGTAGAGAACCAAGGAAGGCCCAATCTTGGGAGTACATCGGGTACGAACCCGAGAAGCAATGTAAGGCCCAATCTTGGGAGCACATTGGGTCCGAACCTATAATAACCCTAATTATATGACTTTTAAATTAGAGGGTTATGATGAGAATCTTATGGTCATAAATAGAATGAGAATGAAATTCTAAGAATTTGGATACCCATATTGAGGGTATTCCAGTCAGGTGAATTTTCATCTGTTGTGTTTGACTGCTGACGCAGTAATAGATTATAGAATAGCTCCAATACAGTGAATTTAAGTTAGAGAGCTATCCTAATGATATGAATATCATAAATGATGTAAGCATAAGATTTGATGAAGTTTGATACTTATATTGAGGGTATTCTGAACAATTGATTTTTTTTCTGTTATTTTTGACTGCTGACGTAGTAACAGTCAGTAGAATAGCTTCAAGAGAGAAAATTATAGTTAGATAGATAATCTAATGATATAAACATCATGAATGAGGTTAGTATATGATTTGATGAAGTTTGATACCCATATTGGGGTATTTTGGAAAAGTCACTTTTGTCAGGTATTTTGTACTGCTGTAGAAGCAGCCGATAGAATCCCAGAACGGGAAAAAGATGAGAAAATGGAAATAAAGACCAATATAGCCTAACAAGTCATAATTATACCAATAATGTTAAAGTTAAGAAGATTATGAAATCCGGATACAGTTAAGAATACCGATAAAGTCTACAGTGCAATTAAAACACTGTTAATGGATCTGTGATCCACTAATCAAAATTTTAAGTTATGAACATGATAATTAGACAAAATTAATGTTAAGTACTTAAAGTTAGAGTATTGGAGGTTTTCGGGTAAAAATTCGACGACGGTTCAAATAAAAATTACACCGGGTCTCACTAAAGGACGAATGGTCACTTAGAGACATGGCACCCCTCATTATGGCACCACTCCTCCCATTTCTGGTCAGAATGTGCAGCCCCCCTTCTCTTCCTTCTCTCTAAAATTCAAATTTGAAAATTCTCTCACTTCTCTCTAAGATTTCTTCACCTAAACCTCTCCAAAACACTAAACCTCCTTCATCAAAGTTGTTCCTCTCACTCTCCTCTTCACAACCATACCATTTTTATGGTGTGAAGCCAAAATTTTGTGTTCCTTAACCCTTGGTACAGCCACGATTTTGAGTGGAATGAAGGCTATGGAGTTGTGTTCTTGAGCTTCCTTGAAGAACCACACTTGCTTGCTTGGTTCCTTTGATTTTTAGGTAAGTTTTCTTGAGTGTTCACGAAAACAAATCTCATTTTTTCTCTTGTGTTCTTGAGCCTAACTCATGAGCTTGTTCATGAAGGAGTGTGCTTGCCTAAAGGTGTGTTCTTGGTGGAAAAAGGTGGAGTCTTGAGATAAAGGTGGAAGCGTGAAGATGTAAGCCTTCATTTGAGAAATATGAACCAAAAAGCCTTTCTTTTTCTTATGTGTGTGCCACGATTTTATGGTTGTATTGGAGAAATATTGTTTAAAATTTTTTAATGTCATGGTTTGATGATGATCCTTAAGGGTGGGTGTGTTTTGAACCATGCAATCATGGATTTGATGAGTAAAGGTGCCACCTTTGGACCTTTGTCTGTTGTTCATGTAAAAAGATGAACATGAACCGTATATGGACCCTTGATGATTTCAGTCATGTCAAGTAATAATAAGGTTTGATGATAAGAAAATGTAATTAAGTTGTTAAGTGTGGGAAAATGATTAGAAAAATTAACTAGGTGGGTTAACTCTAAGTAAAACTCACTAATCATGATTAATAATGGCTAAAAACCTAGTTAAAATAGCTCATCAAATCTTCCCCATAAAGTATATAAGGGTTTATTTGTGTTAAAAATTAAGAAGATGATAAATTAAGGGATTAATTAAGGGTAAGGATTAATTAATAAAAGTAATTAAGGATTTAACTCTAAAATTGGACTAAAGTAGGGTTTAGGTACACTAATTAAGTAATTAGTAAATTTAAGTATCATAACATAATGGGACTTAGGATATTTCATAATGTGACTTAATAATAGAAAAATCCAAGAATTAAAGTGAATTAGGAAT